TTGTGATATTCCTAATTTTCGCGTTCATCTGAGGGAAATAATACTTTTCGAGTAATTGAATTTTGTTCTCTATCGCGTTCCTATGTGCTCTATTATGTTCCATTATAATTTCTGTTTCTTGTTCTGATTCATTTCTTTCTGCTAAAACTTTGTGAGCAGATATTTTTGATTTTTCCTAATATGCTGTCTTCGGTTTTAATACAATTCGTTACGGTAGGGTTAAGGTATCTTTTTAGTAGTGCTGTGAGACTTTCTTCTGTAAAACTTCTATCTATTATAATATGTCTATGATAAGTTGGGAAAGTTATTTGGAATTGGTATGATGCTGTTTCGTCGGTAGAAATGAAAGATTGATTCTTAAATACGTTAATAGGTGCGTCAGTGTATTGTACTAAGGTCAGTTTCCAGAGCCTATATTATGGCTAAAAGTTCTTTTTCATTAGTCGCGTAGTTTTCTTCGGTTTTTGTCAATGTGCTGGATATGAACGTTATGGGTGTTTGCCGTCTTGTTCGAGGACTGCTCCTATTGCATGGCTCGATGCGTCCGTGGTTAAGTGAAATTCTTTACTGAAGTCGGGATATTGTAGCATGACGTCTGTAGATACTAGTGAATTTTCTAATACGCTGAATGCTTCTTTTGCTTTATCGTCTAGAGCAGTTTTTATTTTGGATGATTGATTTTTCTACATGCGTCCCTCCTCCCCTCTTAAAAGTATTGTTGGGGGTTAGGCGAGTTTCGCATAGTCTTTAATGAAACGGCGGTAGTAACCAGAGAGTCCAAGGAAGGATCGAAGTTGTTTTATTGTTCGTGGTGATGGGAAGTCTAAAATTGATCTTACTTTTGTTGGATTTGTTTTTAGTCCATTTTGAGAAATAACGAATCCCAAAAATTCTACTTTTGTTTTTAGAAATTCGCATTTGTCAATTTGGATCTTTATATTAGCTTCTTGTTATGTTTGGAAATTGGTTTGAACGTTTTGTAAATGAGACTCCTCGTCTTTGCCGAAAATTATAATAACGTCTATGTAAACAAAGCATATTTTTCCGATGTATTTTCTTAGTATATCGTCTTTGGAAAATTGCGGGTGCGTTTTCCATATTTACCGTTGTTGACTGAAAAAGCTGTCTTTCCAATATCAGATTCCACTAATGGAATTTGATGAAAGCCACTTTTCAGGTCTAGGACTGTAAAAATTTTATTTTTGCCAAGTTGGGATAGAACTTCGTTTGTGTCTGGGATAGGATAACGATCGGGTATTGTGATTGAATTTAGTTTCCGGTAGTCGATGACCATTCTGGGTCTTGGCTGGTAGTACTTATTTCAGCTTTTACTGTGGTAGTATAAGTTAATTTCTCGTCCGGTTCGGAAAAAAGATTTGAGTATAAATTGCATAATTTACAAAGTTTTTCTGATTGCCTATTTGTGAGGTGTTCCGTCCTTATTTGGATATTGTTAATTGATTTTGATTCCTGTTGTTTTATTGCAATTTTTATATTGTTTTTTATCATCATGTAATTTTTTGAAGAGAATATTGTTGCTTCCAATTGTTTTAAACTGTCATTACCTAAAATACCATCAAAGGATTTTAAGGTGGGTAGGATAAAAAAATTAAGGTTTTCGTCTTTCAGTCCGAAAAGATTGATAAGGGTATGGTGAGTTATTGTAATATTTCCTGCCACTGAACATGCGTGGAAACTTTCGTTGTTTCTTTTAGAATTTTCAATATTTCCCCATCACTATCCTTGCATAGAAAATAAGGAAGTGTGGAGTTCGTCAACCTAAAAATGTATATCTGTAAACTGGTTAGTATTTTCATCTGGTATGTTGTTCTGAGAAGCATATTGCTAATAGTAGTCTTCCCATGATTGCTCATTTTGTCTTTGGTCTGATTGTCCTGAGTCTATTAGTCTATCGTCAACGGGTTCTATGTGATTAACTCGTTGTTGCTTAAATGGTTGATGCATTTGTTGTGATGGGACTATTGGTCTTTTTCCGGCAAAGGTATTATTAGTAGGTCTGTTTATATAGTTTATATTTTTGGTCCTTTGTGATTGGTCTACGTCTATTGGCACTGATGGTTTGGATTGAGCGGGTCTTGACGGTGGATTATTAAAATAATTAGGTTTAGGTGTTGGTATGTGAGGGTATGCGAAGTTTTGGGGATAGTTGAAGTTTTGTAGGTATTGAAGATTAGTTGGGTTTTGGTTAATTGAATTTCTTTGGTATAGTGGGTATTGGTTATTTGTATTCCTGTTTGAATTTAGTTGTCCATAATAGGGAGTTGGTTGGGGTAGGTATGCTAAATGTGGGAAAAATTGTTGTGGTTTCTTTAGTGAAATGTGTGGGATGTTTAGTTTTCGCTGTGAGGGTTGGTAACTAAAAGCGTGTTGCGTCCTAAAATTCTAGTTCTGTAATTTCATACACAATTAGAGTGCTTGCGGTAAGTCAGTAGGTTCCTTTATTCCTAGTAATTTTGGAAGTTCTCCGTTCAGTCCTCTTATGAACGTGTCTAATGCTTTGTCGCGGCAGGTTTTAGTAAGGATTTGTATAGATTCCGTTCCTACATTCATGCATGAAATTTTGTTTAATATATCCTGGTAGAATTCATTAATAGATTTATTGCCTTGGAATATGCATGACATCTGGTACTCTAAGGTACTGATATCGCGCTTATCACCATAATGTGTGTTTAATTCTAGAGCGACGTCGGCATTGACCGTTATTTTATTTGTTATGACATTTAAAATGACAAAATAACGTGGAGTGCCTCTTTCGCTGTCATATATCCTTAGAATTCTTTCCACGCTTTTCTTCCAATATGCGAATTCTCTAGGACCTCCAGAAAAATCTCGGATTCTGGATTACTTATTTTGAAGGTTTTATTTTATTTTACCTATTTTATTTGTTTATTTATTTATTTTTTTTTGTTTTTTTTTTTTATCAATCTCTGGAGGGTCCCCTTAAAGGTGGTGAATTGCAGAGTTGTTTGTTTTATAAAGCCGGAGGGTCCCCCTTAAAGGTGGTGAATCGCGGCCTTGCTTTTACTTATTTATGGGCTGTACAATCCTTTAGTTTATATTGTATAATTGTTTTTGTTTAAGTATTTAATCTTTAAAATCTAAATCTTTTACTTTGATTCACAAAGCTATTTTTTTTTTTAAATAACTTAAAGTTAGATGTAAGCCCTAAGCAGAAATTGATGAATCTTTGCTATTCGGTGGTTTAAGTTTATTTACGTATTTTGTTTTTTTATTCCTACTACAATAATTTCTCTTTTTTTATTTCTTTGCAATTTTTACTACTTAAATTTCTTTTCTTTAATTGCTAAATATGAATTTTGTTTCTTTAATTAAAATTTTTTAAGCTTTATTTTCTCTCACTTTTACTTTTTTTTCTAGTATAATTTATCTGTAATATCTTAGTCTATGCTTACATAAATCCTATTTTGTCCCACGAGTTACTGCTGGGCTGCTCCGTTTTGTACTGCCTTCCTACTCCGGTCCAACGATGCCACAATTCCGTGGGGTGTGGTTTTTTCATATTGGATTTTACCACTTGAGAGTCCTGCCGCGTCCTGGCACTTCCTGAGTTCTCTTCGCCGGGTTTAATAATTTCGCGACGAAATTCCCGTTTTGTTTTTTTTCGCACTTGTTTTTTTATTTCCACTACAATCGGACGCGACTGGCTGTTGGTTTAATCTACGTTGGGCGCCAGTTAATCTATTTATTAATAGATTCTTAAAAAACAAGTTTTTCTTTTTATTACGAGCGAGTTGCTCACTTTATTGCTTAAAATTAAAATTAGAACTAACTTACATTTTTGGTCTTACAGCTAATTTATGCTAGTAAGTCACGTTGCAAGGCAGGTGCAATTGCACATTGTTGTTGTTGTGGGCTGGCTGGCCAGACGTTCTCATGCGACGACGGTGTGGAGTCAGCATTTTGACAATTGCGCGTGTGGTGTCGTTTGACTGTGAAAGTTCTTTTGTTGCCTAAGCTAAGGTAGATCGTGGGAAAGGTATTTCGGCGTATACCGTGTTAACTTATATGCCGTGCATTCAAATAGTAGAATGCAGATGTACTGACCGCTAGCTATTGCGAATAGCGAAGGAGTGGAAATAGCCGGAATGCCAAAAAGGGCAGTGCGCAGTAACTGCATATGTAATATGAGCACCTGTAGGAGGGTAATACAAACACACTGGACCAGTTGTGGAACTGTTGAAAGTTGTTTCGGACCAGTTCGCATGTATGTGCGATGAGATGTATATGCGTGTGTATGTTAATAAATGAGACAAGTAAAGGAGTACTCACTTTGGCATATCCTTGTATTTGTACAAACTCTTAATAATTGTTATGTGATTGAGTGTGGATTCCGGCTTTTTGCGTTTTTTTTCGGGACCGGTATGTACTTTTTTTTTTAAAGTTATGTATATTTCACTTTTTATCGAACGGTAAGTACTTTTTCACTTTGATCACTTTTCTCCCAGCGACCGCTATTTTTATGTGTATATATATGCATATACTTTGTTTTTAATTATTTATGCATTTATACATATATACACTCAGTCCTTTTTTTACGCGATCTCTTTTTACGCGATTTCACTTTAACGCGGTTATTTTTGCAGCGCAAATTCCTTTTTTTACGCGAATTTCTCACTTTAACGCCATTGCTTTTTTTCGTTTTTTGCTTGTTTACATATTTTTACTCGTAATAATTTTCGAATGTAATAAGGGGAACAAAAAAATTTTACTCTATGTGTATCAATTATTGCAAATCTAGTTATAATGTATTTTGTTAGCGGCCGGTGCAGTTGTTTTGTTAAGACTTTAAAATATATCTATAATTTTGTAATAAAAATAATAAAAATTTTTAATAAGGAATTTCAATTTTCGCTAGCTTTACAATGGAAGCTAATTCAGAAAAAAATAAAAAACGCAAAGGCATTTCTTTAGAAACAAAAAAAAAGTTATGGACTATCTAGAGCAGAGATCTGGCCCAACAAATGTGGGAAAGAGGCTTGGACTCAGTAAATCTACAGTGTGGACAATAAAAAAAAATGTAAATGCAATTAGAAAATCTGTAGTTTCCGGCAAATATGTAAATGCGAAGAAAACTTTATACTCAAGAAATGTTTTTATTGAAGAAATGGAAAACCTATTAACAGTTTGGATTGAGGATCTCAACCAGAAACGAATCCCAGTTGATACTACAACAATAAAACAAAAAGCTCTACGTATTTGTTCACTGGATGGCCAATAAAAAAGCCTGGGTAACTGGAAATATATTCCAAGAATGGTTTGCTAAATGCTTTGTACCAGAAGTTAAAAGTTATTTGAAGAAGAAGAAACAGCCCTTTAAAGCTCTTTTAATAATTGACAATGCACCAGGCGATCCGTTGATTGAACATCCTGATGTAAATATCATTTTCCTCCCGCCGAATACTACATCAATTATCCAGCCAATGGATCAAGGCATTATTGCGACTTTTAAAATGTACTACCTCAAAAAAAACTTTTCAGTGCATTATGGAAAAACTGGAGGAAAATCCTGAATTGGACTTCACCGATGCTTGGAAAAATTTTTCTATCAAGAATTGCATCTTGTACGCGTTAAAAGTAATTTCTGAAATAAGGCAACGTTATACACGTTAAACGCATGCTGGAAATCTCTTTGGCCAGAATGTGTTAAAAGTGGTATGTCCGTGACCAGCAATTCAACCAATTATTCAGATATCATTGATTTAGCAAGCTCCGCGGGAGGAGAAATTCTTGCAGATATGACGAGAGAAGATATTGACGAGATTCTTCTAGACCGAGAGCTCGATGATGACGATTTAATTGAAATAGCTACGGAAGTAATCGAATCGGAAAATCGCAGCGACACCAAGATAGGCATCCAATTAAAGCAGAGACGATTAAGCAAGGTCTTCAACTTGCAGCAGAATTGGAAAATTATTTTGTAGCAAATGATACTGATGCCGAGCGTGTACGAATTTTTCAAAAAGAATTGAGTCTCTGCATGTTAAGATATAAAGAACCTAATCGGAATTTATTGGGTCTAAAAAGAAGCATTCAAACAAAATTAACTGAATTTATGGAGCAAACTCAGTCGGAGATGCTAAGTCAATCAGAGCATCAATCCATTGTTCTTACTATTGATTCTGATACAAATTCTAGTGATATCAGTGCAGATCATCAAAATAAGCGGCTAAGAATAATTTCCACTACGGATAATGACAGTGATTAAACAGCATTCAACGGTTTTTTCAATAAATCTACCTATTTTCTATATTCTTCTCTTTTATATATGGTTTCAGTTATGTATTTTTTATTTTGTTATGAATGAATAAATCATAAGTCTGAAATTTATTGGTTCTGCCAATAATCGCGTAAAAAAGGACTGAGTGTATTTGAAATATTTTGTATTTATGTATGCACGTGTGTTTTTTTCTCTCCTTTTTTATATCGACCGGTATTTATGTACATATATATTTTGTTTTAATTTATATGTGCTCAATTTTCGTATATATGTTCACTTTTTTCTTTATATATTTATTTCACTGAGCCACTTTTCGTGCGTTTAAATTTTTTATTCGCGACTATCGCTTGCTTTTGCGCCGTTTCTCGCGAATTTCTTGTTTTTTTAAGGTTCACTCCGTTAAAGGGTTTTCGGCACCATATTCAACTACTGACGTTGACTAAAAAATATTAATTATGCTTTATTAAATTAAAAAAACGCGCTCTCTTTTATATCTTTCTCACACTGATTTTAATTCGAATAAGACACATATGTACAAACATATTGTATTGAGGTAAAGCAAGCGATTGATTTAAAAATACTGTAAGCTTATTATTTATAACAAAATACTTAGCTTAGTTTTACATTAACTCTATTATCTTCCCCATCCCGACGTAATACAACCTGAAAAGAGAACTACAAAGATAAGGATAGTGTGCAATGTCTCAAAAAAATCATGGTTATCCCAGTAAAGTCATGAGTGATAATGGCACTACTTTCGTAGGCGCTAAACGAGCCACCGAAAAAGAAGTTTCTAGAATTCATGGAGGGCCTCCCAATATTTCATTCAAAAGTACTCACCTCAAGGAATTAAATGATAGTTTATTCCCGGATTATGGGAATCTGCAATTAAAAGTTTCAAACTACAATACATTAAAAAAAACTGCTGGAACTCACAAGTTTACCTTCGAAGAGTTCACTACTCCCCCAAGTATAGTAGAAGCCATTTACAAGGCCAATCTCAGTCCTTTTCGCAAGATGCATCCGATCCTACTGTATTCACTCCGCCCCACTTTCTACGTGGTACCACCCTCTTGTCATTGCCCGAAGTCAGAATAATTAACAAACAGATGGGAAAAGGTAAAAACCTTATTGTACGAATTTAGTAGGCGTTGGAAGTACGACTATCTGAGAGACCTCCAAAATAAATATGCAGTCAAAGACAAAAGTTTAGATACCCTATAAACTTCCACTTTTTATCAAAATTACGCATTTTCAAGTAAATGTAAGAATGCAGTTTATTTAAAGTAGATAATTAATCAACAATACAATCCAAAAAAATATTCAAACTCGCGTGAATAACGCTAAGTTCATTAAAAACATGAAAACACGCGGAACAAAAGTTTAAATACAATACATATTATTTAATATATTGACTAAATTAAACTAAAAATTAATAATATTAATTTTAATATTTTTTTGGCCCACCTCATGCTCCTTTAACTGCCTTCATACGACGTGGGGTTGATATAACCGAATTTTCTATTTCCGATGGCGCAATTTCAGACTATGCCTTTTTCAGATATTCTAAAAGACTTAGCCAAACCCGCTATATGGTATGGAGATATCTACAAGCTTCCGAGACCCGAGGAATCCGCGAAAACCTGCCTGTGTTGATCCAAATACTTTTGTAAACATACATGTTCATTATTCCATTGATAAAATGTCCTACACCAGTTGCTCCAATCACTTCCCAAACCTTTACGCTACCCTCACTGTTCTTAATGGTTTGTATTAAATTTTGGGTTTGATAAACTGCCGTTGATTTACGCCAAATTTTTACGCAGCCAACGCTTTCGAACACGTTGAATTTCGGTTCGCCCGTAAACAGGAGTCTTCTCCAAAAGAATTCATCCATATCCTTGTATGTATTTGCAAAGTAAAGGCGGAGTTGTAGTTATTGGCTGTACATTTTTGCCCAATATTTTAGAGATGTTGTCGGCTGTCTTTGGGGCAGTTCTTTTAGGATTTTTTGTCACTTTCTTGGTGATAAAACTAACATCTCGCCAGAATAGCTTCTTTGGACACCTAGAACAACATTTTACAAGCTCGCATAAGGATTATCTAGATTTTCTCTTATATCTCGGTAAGAATTTCATTCTTAAAAATGTTTAATCATGAAGTTCTTAACACCCCTTTATCTGTTATTTTTTACAATTTTTGTTTTTTTACTTTGCATTCACTTTTGGAGAAGAGGTCGCATCTAATACTGGGTAAATTTGTGTAAACAATGCTACATCATTGAATATAACGGTACTCCCTTCCTAAAGAGCTTGCAGAACACATGCGATGGGTATATTTCTTTGGTTGTATCTAAACTTTTGTCCCGCGTATTTTCATGTTTTCAATGAATTTACCGTTATTGGATTGTATTGTTGATTAATTATCTACTTTAAATAAACTGCATTCTGGACATGTCAGGGTAGTTAACGCTTGCACTCAGTTGGTATTTGGCTCACCTTTGCACACAGAAGATTAGGCCCCTCAAAATTCTCCCCTAAATTAAAAAAAAAAAACATAAACACTTAACTCATCTCTGCTTTAAGCACTCTTCTCCAATATAATCGAGCTTAAAATAAACATATTTCGAATGTCCATGATCCCGTTTCCGGAGGGAAGTGTAGTGTTCCAGCTAAGCCTCCTACATACGGTTCTCCAAGTGAATCGAGCCATAAATAATATTTTGTGATGGGTAAGTATCTGGCCCGCTTTCTAAAGAGTAGAAGAGTGTTCCGGTAAATCAAAGCGGAATGCTACCTAAGTACTTTGTACAGAATTTTATGTAAATCGAAAGACACTTCCGAATTACTTGAAATTATTCTGTACCGAACTTCAAGTTAATTGAGCAATAGATAAAATTTTTACGAATTGGTCAATTTCTGGTCCACTTCTCGGGGAAATAAAAAGTTTTCCTTTTAATTTAACTAAAAATTTAGCACTAATGTATGTACCGAATTTCAAGTAGATCGAGACATAAAAAACATTTGCGAAATAGTCAGTACCCGGTCCACTTTCCGACATTTTTTTACATAAGCCTTCCCTGAAATGAAAGAAACAATCAGCCTTTATTTTAAGTCGATCGGTCGATAACTTTTGTATATTAGGAGCTTTTACTAAACAGACAAAAGATTTTTGTACATAAAAATAGATCTTCCCCTGTATCCAAATTTAAAAATAATTCAACCACAAGTAATTTTTTTGAAAGGGTCAATCGATGGACGGTTTCCAGGAGAGAAGATGAGTATTCCTGTTAATCTAAGTAAAGAACTATGTATGTACCGAAATTTAGGTAAATCGAGCAAAAGATTCGAATTTTTAGAATAGGTCAGTCACGTGTCCACTTCCCGGAGTATTGAAAAGTCTTCTTGTTAATAGGAGTAAAAAACCACCCATGTACCGAATTTTAAGTTAATCGAACCATTTACAGCCTTGGCCAAAAATATTATGCACCCAACTAAAGTACAAGTACTCTCAAATGTGGCTATCAATGTTACCACTTCTTTTTGTAAATGTCTTACAAGGATGTTTGACTGTTGAGGAAACGAATAAATTATGTAATATAAAGCCATAGCACTCTGGGTAAGCAAAAACTAAAATTTGTAATTTTAGAAATTCATAAAAAATATTTTCGCATTTAAAATTTGAAAGTGAAAGTGTAAATTGCATTTAGTTAAAAGTTGTCAATCTTATAAAAACAGTACATATTTACGAAGATAGAGTTAAAATTCAAGTTCTAAGCGAAGAATGTAGGTCTCAGGTTAAGATTGCCATTGCATTGGTGGGATGCTCACGGTGCGCGTTCCAATGTGATATCAGGCGATTTGAGGAGACGAAATCCCACAATAATAAATCCAGTAAGCGGGAAGACCGAATACTTATGCGCGAGTCATTCAAGGATCGGAAAAAATCTTCTTCTGCCTTTGCAGCTGCCCTTTCCGATGCATTGAGTAAACCAGTTAGTGCTCGAACAGCTAGAAGAAGACTTCTGGAAGCAGGTTTAAAAGGATGTAAAGCCCGAAAAAAGCCGCAGCTGTCAGCAAGAATAGGAAGAAGATTGATCGAATGCTCTGTGGTGATGAATCAAACTTCGAGGTAAGCTTAGTTAAGATAGTCGGGTTGAGGAATAATATCATCCAGATTGCGTGGTACCCACTGTTAAGTATTATGATCTGAAGCTGCATGACTGCTGATGGTGTCGGCGAAATATTCGTTTGTTAGGGTCGCATGGACAGTCAAAAGTACTTAAAAGTATTATAAGGTGTTCTTCTGCGTTCGTTAACGCACAGTTTCGGTGATGCTAATAAAGAAGGGGTTCAATTTCAGCAAGACAATGCT